TACAGTTACTTACTGCCCGATTCAAGAGATACAGTCGGGTGACATTAGCCATACTTCTTGCCCCTATACGCGGTAATGCCGATGAACAGTTACGGAGAATTACATTAGCTTTGTGTTCATCCGGCACGCTATCGCAACATACGGGGGCATCCTCTAGAACTGAGCCTAGGAAGGTGCCAGAAGTTCTGGGAGAATGAGAAACGCACCCCGCATGAGGCTCATGGTTAGTCCCATATTGGTAAATCTCCAGCTCGAAGGAGCGGGGAGGGGGGGGGGTAGTACTCCACTGAGCTCTCCAATACTAACATAGGGAAGGATAAGAGTTTCCATGATACGATTTTTCCATGAGTCTATTAATTTTAAATTACTTCTGACCAGAACCGGAGTAGTGTGAAGAACCCCTGAGGGTGCTTTCAGGTCCTGAACTGGGGTATGGACATACTTTCCTTGGCGCAAGGGTGTAGGAGCCCAGGGTGGACGATCACATGCCATAAATTGCCTAGGATGTGAGCAGGATGTGCGTGATGAGGGCATACACCGGTCCTTATCAAAGGGGCACTTGAAATGAGCTGTTTATCCATTATATTATCCATAGGATTAAAACCCGGAGGAGTGTTGTCTAGTAATACGGATAAGATAACAGAGGTGCCTCCCCCGAGCTGAAGTTCCACCCCTGTTTTCAAGGAAAAGGGGATGTTTTGCGTGGTTTTGAATATCTTGCTACAACAATGCCCCCGTATAGCGATAGCAGCCACCTGGCCTTACTAAGCATCCAGAACACCTTTAAACTGGTGAAATCGGTCGCGTTCTGGGTGGTGCTAAGTTCCTTGAAGAGACATAAGATCCCAGTTGAGACTGAGGCGCTGAACATCCCGCCGCTTTGATGACGCACGTCTTTAAGTGGTAAATACTCGTGAGCGTCGGGACTAATTTGCCCCTCGGGGATGCCGTCTCGCCTCGTCAGCTCTCGTATATTGGCCCATAACCTTTGTACCTGCTTACCTTTAATCGCTCATGTCCTGCGTTTTTCGTGCCATGCATCATCATCGAACGAATCTCGGGATTCTTGAAAAAAGAATTCCTGCAAGGGGAACTTATAGCTGTAATATCACTGACAAAAGAACAGATATTTTGAAGGGAACATGCCTGAATATGCTGATTGCTGGCTCCAGAGCGCCTTGATTCCGTGCATGTGCCCAGGTCTTCCGGATGAGCAGTATTTGAGCGGCGGTGAGGACAGAGAGACGACGAGACCAGGGGTGCGGAGCTTGCCTTGTCCTGGTATGGCTGAAAATCCATCACGAAAGTAAAATAGACCACAACTTCACTTCGACAGGCTCGGGTGCCAATCATAGGAGCCTGACCGTACGGGATATCCGAAGACAAAAAAACTCCGAAGCATTTGAAAGCTATACATAATTCACTTACCGTTGACACTGCTTGATGTGGGCCTGTCCTTGGAGAGTTGCGCCCTTAGCGGAGACACCCCGTTCTTTGAGCTTTTCGTCGACGCACTCTTAACCGCTGAAAAGCTGGGTGGGTTAGGTCGAACGCAAGGTTGAGCTGAAAAAGCGTGACGTGTTTCAGG